AAATGCAAAATCATACAACTGTAGCCAGATTTGTTTGTTTACCCCCGAAAAGGACTGAATCCCACCATTTCAGACCGGAATCCTATCGCGAAGACGCCTCAGCCGCTGCAAATATAACCGATCCAGACGCTAAACTTCAATTCTACCAGGATATAGCCAGCGGAGCCGAATCCGGATGGGATTTCTCTATTCGTTGGTTCGCCGATAAAGTCTCGCTCAACTCCATTGAAACCACTAACGTGGTCCCAGTTGATCTCAACGCTTTCATCTGTTACAATTTACACATTCTAGGAGCTTTACACGCTGAAGTCGGTACGTATTCCTGGTTTTCATACCATAATTATTACATGGGCTTTTTTTCGGGCAAAATTTCCTTGAAGGAAAAACCATTTCAGGAAATGAGCATAAGAGCTCGTCTTGGACTGCACAATATATCAAATTCCGTGGAGATTTCGAAAAGATCTTTTATGTGAAAGAAGCCAAAGGCTGGTATGACTACAACCTCCGCACAAAACAACACAACACCGATTTCTATGCATCGATTGCTGTTCCTCTATTCACACAATGTTACGAACCACTCAGCTTGTCAAAAAGCGATGATTTATATGACAAAATGGAAGAAATGGGTGTGTTCAGCTACGTAGGAGGAATTCCCACAAGGTAAGCACAGAGTTCATTCAAATTTATAGATGAAAGAACGCTTTAATGATGGGAAACCTAGAACTACGAGGAAGGGCTAATGGCATCAGATACTGCTGGAAGCGCAGACTTCGGGTCCCTTGGCACGGCCCTAGGCTCGGGCACCAAGCCAAACCCAAAAAGGGGAATCAAAAAGCCAGTTGGAGTATTTGTACTTTTCATACACACAACATTTGGCTGTTTGCCTAACGATAAGGCTTCATTTTCAAAGAAGCTTCCCATCTTTGATAAAATTGTTGATGAAACTAGAATTTTATTGGAAAACAAGAAGATCCCAGGTTTACCCACGGAACGTGGTAGGTCTGAGATATCCCAGATCTCCTGTATGGCTATAAATAATCAAAGTCGCGATCCTAGTGAAACTGGTTGCATTCCTCTTCGTAAACATAATCAGTCAGCCACCAACATTTGCAGTATTCATGCACTTTTCACGAAGGACCCAAGGAAGACTTCTAACTAGTGTGGAGACTACAGGAAAAATATTATCCTAAGAACCTAATAGACCCTCTTGATTGACTGTGGTTTAAGCGCCGTCTCCTAGATGCGCACAGTAAATAAATTAAATAAATGAATAAATATAATAAACTAAATAAAAATAAATGAAATAACTGCAGCAAAAATTAGCTGGACCATGCTGGTTCAGCATTATATCGGACCAACAAAGTATCAAGAGTTCCCGGATTTTTAGGAAGTTGTCACGAAATTTCAAACAAATATTCGCAGTTATGCAAGTTACAAAGTAAGGAAACAATGGACTTTCTAACGGATGGCAAGCCCTTCTGACCACCTGAATTATAGAGGCTTTGCGAAATCCGATGACCCTAGACTTGTGTTTACGATCTTTTTATAGCAAGCCTTTCTTGAGACTCAACCATTTCAGGATGCAACAAAAATCATTCCTCCTTGCTGAAAAATGGATTCTTTCCAATCTTCACGTGTTTGAGAGCGATCAAGTTATGTGGGAGAAGTACGACGTGGTCTCTGCAAGTCCACGACTTGGAGGAGGTGGCGAGTACCTCGTACAGGTACGGCAGTAGCTCTTCTATCAGCAAAAAACCTAGTAAAAAAGTCAGGGGCAGGGCTAAAGCAGCACCGTGGGGGGATCGAAATATGTAGATACCCAGAGCGACAAGCACCTCTGGACAAATGATCTGCTAGACGCAAATTTATGTCTTATAAAACCGTCCGTAGAGTTTCCAAATCACATTTTCGTATTCAGGAACGCTCCAATGCCGCTAACAATTTCGGAGTGGTCTCTTATCATCCCACAAAAAAATTCGGCTGCGCTTCTTGAAAGTCAAGCCCCATACGGGCGTTCGTAGACATCGGCTTTTGAAAAACGCGAATTTTTGGGGTGAAAGAAAACCAATCCAAAACCTTTTTGCGTTTTCTTTTCCCTGGGAAAAACTTGTTCCAAGGTATTTAAAGTCGAAAAAACCAAAGAAAGATTCCACGTAATTGCCACAAATTTTGATCAATGTCAAGCCAACGTTACACAACGACCAGACGGTCGAACCGGTCCTGAATTGATCCCGTTGCACGTGCCAATCGATCACCCATAAAAGCCACATGTCTATTAGGAGAACCAAATCAGCACATCAGTAATTAAATTTGACGACCATAGAACGACTACAGTCCGAAAAACAGAGTTCCCTAGCCACGTGGTGATGCGCCTTTTGGACATTCTCGTGACCTTTTACCATTGAACGACCAATTCCCACCATCCTCTATGCGGGGGCAACCGTCCCTTTCCAAGTTCCTGAATGACACCCCCTTCCCATCACCATCAGCCTTAGAGAGATCTCCGATACGCCCCTCCCCTACCACTACCTGTGGATTAGTATGGCTAAAGAAACGGCAGATGTTCTTCTGCCTTCCTCCATTTAGTTCATCATAAGGTTTTCAGTGCTAAGTGAGTTAGGGGGAGGACAACGCGGCGCCGTCATTTTCATGCGCCATGAAACTAACCATAAGCCTGAGCCTAGGAGCGGGTGGGTGAGCTGAGAACATAATGATTAGTGATTGATTTTGGGACATTTGAGCCTCCATCTAGGCTCAGGCCTAGTGCCCATGACATTGACAGACGCTTGACAGACGCCGCGCGGCCGCATGATCCCCCAACTCACTTAGCACCGGTTTTCTTTAGCAAATCGTCAAAAACAATCAGGAACGACCCCTTCGCCGCTAGCATGATCCCATCCAATTCAACGATAGCGGAAGTCGCGCTCAGAATATCACCAAGCTAACAACCACAAGCATTCAGACTTGTTGTGCCTGTGTTCTATTCGTAATAATATCGCCAGGGAAATGTACTTCGTTTTCCTGGCTTTCCCACTAAGTTTCCGAAGCATAACAACTTTGCAATAAAAAGCCACAAATAGTCGAAGTTCTCAAATATTAGCCTGTTTTTGATGAATTCTTTTTGTAAGAGCCTCGATTTCTATGGACGACTCAGCACGTAGCTAAAGGACACTCACGAAATATGGGAAACGACCATTAAAACTATCATTTTCA